TAATCCAGCATTTCTACGATTCTGCCAATCATATTTTCAAGTTCAGGAGAGAAGCAAAGGCGGCTGCACGAGTCTTTTCATAGTTTTACAAACATTGTTCAGCGAAATGGACACCTTCAAATGATGCTGAAAGAGTCATGACTCTTTATATGTGCACATACTGTATTTATAAGGTATAATTCACCTAAAAATTTAGTTTTTGTCTTCATACTATGATGTATTAACGGTCAGGAAATCACAAGTGACGTGAGCTGCTGACCATGAGCTGTTTTCACAGAGTGAGTGGGCGCGCATTTACTTTTTAGCGAACAGAACCTGCATGGGCTGTGAGTAGCAGGTAATAAAGTTGTAAATAATATTCAGTTTGTGGCACAGAGTTATCATTTGAGAGCCGCTCGAGAAGTATGAACAGCACTTAGCAGTGAAAATGAAACCGAAAGCGTGCACATCATTTTAATAATCATATCGCGTTTTAGAGTTATGATTGCAACAAGCATTTAATATGTTTTTTCTTTCATAGTGAACACACAGTTGTGCATGTAAATACATATTTACAGTGTCGGTAAAACTACTCTATGTAATGCTAATTTTACCAGTGAATTTAAAGGTCTAAAAATGTTGTCAATGACAGATTGCAAGCATAGGCCTATATCTCAAACATAATTCAACATCAGAATTATTATAAGTACAATAGAATTATTTGTAGAAACCAGTTGACCTAAACATACTTTTGTAAATATTGTTGTTTTATTGTGTGTATATATATATATATATATATATTTATGCCCATAAATATTTGGACATCAACACAATTCTAACATTTTTGGCTCTATACACCAACACAACTGATTTGAAATGAGATAAACAAGATGTGCTTCGGCTGCAGACTTTTGTCTTATTTATAGGTAATAAAAGATGGAGCTCAGCCAGTATTTTTCTGACAAATTGTTTCAACTGAAATTGGTCATGCTACCCTGAGAGATTAGGAGAGTTCACAGAGGTAATTTTTACTTTTAAATTTAGCTGTTTATTCTGCGGTAAGTTTAGATTCAGGGCATATTAATTACTATAAAATAAAAGTGGGGGAAAACACAAGTATTAACGGCATTATCATGATGGACTTATTCAGTAGGGAACTTGAGTTTATGTGACTTACACTTTTCGTTGAAAAAAGCTCCTTATGTCCACCTTTTTTTTTTTTTTTTTTGCTGCCGCCATCCTCACTTGCGTGTGTCACACACCTTCACACAAATTCACCTTTGTAGTTTTGGCGCTTACTGCTTGTTTCTGAACACAGCTACAGCCTTTCACATAACAGCAGGGAAAGGCTCAGCCATCACAATGCTCATGTTTGGGGGTGGTGCAACTAGAGAGAATGTGATTATAACCCAAAGAAGGACTAGTCCATCAGATGAAGAAGAGCCAGTTTACTGAAGAGAGTTTGCACTTTCATTAGCAGAAGCTAGCTTCAACACTCGCAATGAGTTCCTAAGCCGCTCTGCTTACAATCATAAATCAACATTAATTATACTCTCACATAACATCATTAACTGCATCATACTGTACATATTGATTAAAAAACATATAAACTGGGAAATTTTCCATGTAGGTGCGTATGTACAATTCTGAACAATATCTCAAAATCTCAAGCATATAAACATAAGACATCCATTAGTCTTTTTAGAGCTGGCCCCAGACCTGTGAAAGGATACACAATCGAATAGAATGCACACACATTCTACAAGTACAATCTGTTTGTTACTCTCAGTAGTCTTTATCAAAACTGGTTAAATCGTTATATTCTACATTCAAGCAACTATATTCTTACTACACAAAGTATATATTGAATAAAAAACACTTCAAACAGAATTTAACACATAATATTAATAATATCAAAATCCTTTTATACAGTATTAACACTTAGCAATAGAAATATATAAACAGTTGTTTTCAATCATCAAGCCCTTCAGTTCCATTCAAGGTCTCCATGACCTCTGGCCTGGTTTGGTGGCTCCTGAAAATAGAATTACAAAGAGACAGGCAAATGCTCTGAATATTCTTATTTTATATTAAACAACGTGTTAACTTTATTCATTAGTCAAAATCATTTGAGATTAAATACAGATTCAAATAATCATATACATTAAGTAATGCAGGGCTCGAAAGGGCATATGCGGCCGAAAATTAATCTATGCGACCTCATAATATATTTGGGCGCATTAGTGCGACTGCAGATAATGGTTGTAGTGCGACCTGTTTTGGTTTTTTCTAAAACGTGCTGAATCGCTCTTCCCTGCCGCTATATTGGTTCATATTAGCTGTCAATCACTCAAGATATTCCGCTGTCAGATGACAGGGAAGGAGCTTTTATGACCACGGGAAATGCAAACGGCTGAAGAGTAAAAACTTAAAGCACACAGGTTTGCAAACCCCACCTAAAGTTGAGGCACAGATGAAAGCGATCATGACACGTCACGAGGTGAATAATGATCCGCCAGCTGAGATCAATCGAGTATGCGCTTCTTGGAGAAGGCGCCCGAATCCCCATGCGTTGCATTCACTGCGTGTTCAGCGCAAATGTCCGCTAAAAGTCAAATCTAATACTGTACATATCATCGCCAAAGGAGCTCGCCTTTACTAAGTTTACACTGAAACTGCGGCTCATAACAAAGACCGGTATTGGGCCGGTGGTCAACGCAAGAATCCTGCTCTGCCTGCACATGAATTGGGTCGGCTGACTCGCCTGATTTTCCACTAACACAGAAACATGAAGATCATCTCAGACTGAACATTTAAATTGACACAAACTGAAACCAAAACTTTTAAAGAGTGATAGAAGTGAGACTTTATTTACTTTCTTTTGTCTATTCTTGTTTGAGGTGTATATTATTTTTTTATATATTTACTGATGACTGCTTTGCTGCTTTTACATTGAATTGAATGATTTATTATAATCTTTTGTTTGTTTTGTTGCAGAAATATTATTTATTAAATTGACATGCATATAAAAACAGCAGCACAAAATAAATTTTTCTTACTGCAATGCTTCATTTTTGTTTGATGCAAACTATACATTTATTTTTCATAAAGTAACTGACATTTTATAGCAGATAACATACATTCATGCACATTCAAGGCAGCATCATAATGAGAAATGGAATTCATTGTTACTATTATTGTCATTTTCATCATCATTAATATTCTATAGCCTAATTATTAGACATTCATTTTTGAATTATTGCACACAAATATCAATGTCTTTGCAGCATTAGTTAGATAGTTGTTTCTGGTTTTTGTCAGTCCTATTAATGTTGTTTTAAAATACAATAAATCCCTTAAAAAACAATTTGCAGCGGTGCTCATTCATTTTTGGTGGGTGCTCCTAAATTTTTTCTGGTGCTCCTAAAAATTTTTTGGTGCTCCTAAATATTTGAAGTTGGGAGCACCGGTGCTACCAAGTAAAAAAGTTAATTTCGAGCCCTGTAATGAGAAAAAGGACCAACGTTGATCCATGCTGGGATGGATTGGAAGGTTGAACTCCGAATCCATAAGGAGGTTTCAATAGTTCATGGATATTGGTGGGAGTTGTGAGACTAGTTTAACAGGCAATAGCAATATGATAAAACTGCCCTTTTTAGCGTGGCCAACCTAAGGCACAGCTGTCCAATAATCATGCTGTCTAGTCAGCATCTACAGTTGAAGTCAGAATTATTAGCCCCCCTGTTTATTTTTTCAAAATTTTTGTTTAAGGGAGAGAAGATTTGTTTCAGCACATTTCTAAACATGATAGTTTTAATAACTCATCTTTAGTAACTGATTTTTTTTTTTTTATCTTCACCATAATGACAGTAAATAATAATTAACTAGATTTTTCAAGACACTTCTATACAGCCTAAAGGGACATTTAAAGGCTTTACTAGGTTAATTAAGTTAACAAGGCAGGTTATGGTTATTAGGCAAGTTATTGTATATCAATGGCTTGTTCTGTAGACAATGGAAAACAAATATAGCTTAAAGAGGCTAATAATTTATGACTTTAAAATTGCTTACATTTTTTTATTACTTTTATTCTTGCCAAAATAAAACAAACAAGACTTTTTCCAGAAGAAAAAAATGTTTTCAGACATGCTGTGAAAATTACCTCGCTCTGTTAAACATAATTAAAAAAAAAAAAAAATAAATAAATAAATAAATCAAAGGGGGGCTAATAATTCAGACTTCAACTGTATGTATGTCACACCCCTGAAGTAAATGGATTATTTCAGTAAATAAGTGCTCACTGACACATATGTGAGAAAGGAGCGAACAATATTTGAAAGAAATGCAGTAGGTATTTTACATAAAACCCTTTTAGACTGTGGCATAACAATAGTGGTGCAATTGTATTTTTTGTAAAGTGTAATATTTTAGTTTTGATCAAATTTAATTTGTCGTTTCTTATGTTAATACAGTTAAATAAGTTATTTAACCGAGGTTTGTACATCTTAAATTTAAGTCTGTTTGTGTCTATTTAGCATCTTTGAAATGAGTGTAAAAATCTGACATCAAATCAGTGTTGTTGTTGTTTTGCTATCAGGATCCTTGATCCAACTCTCATCCTCTCAACTTTGGTTGTCTGCCAGAGCTACTTCTGTCTCATCCGCTTCTCCCCTACCCACCTGGGTGTTTTTCCAGTGTTTCCATTTTTTCCTGTTATTTTTGTTTTCCTGCTGTTTGTATTCTCTGTGTAAAGTTTTTTACTGTTGATTTAGTTTTCTGATTATAGGTGACACAAGGATTGTTTGACTATCAATCCTTGTGCACACACACCCCAGCATTTTTTTTTAAGTTGATAGCCAGGTCTTGTTCATGTCTAGTTGGCAGTGTCAGTTTTGTTCTAGAATATACTGAACAAATTCACCACGAGTACATGTCAGTACATTGGAAATGTGATTGAACCATTTCTCAAGGACAATGATTTAATATTGAATTGCTCTCTTTCTTTTTCTCTCTCTCCACAGATCAAGAGCCCACAGCAGCATTTAATCCTATTTATTTGTTTCTTTTTATCTCTGTTGGATTGAACATATTTTTAGTATATTCTGGATACTTGAGCACTGATTATAACACATTGTCATACACCACGACTTGTACAACTTTGAAAGAGAAGCCTCTGGAAAACAGCACTATCCTGCTCATATGGATTTGGCCATTTGGAAAAAAATTTGATTTAAATTCTTGCAGTGCAAAATTTAATATAGATGGCTGTCACTTGACTGTAGATCGAGAGCTTTACGATGATGCTCATGGAGTACTGATAAATCACAGAGACATTAAAAATGACCTGTCAAATTTACCCACAAAGCCACGACCCTTCTTCCAGAAATGGATATGGATGCACTTTGAGTCCCCAGAAAACACAAGACGACTCGACGGTCTGAACAACCTGTTTAATGTGACGTTGAATTACAGACGGGATGCTGATATTGTGCTTCGTGAACAATTTATTATTAAAAGTGAAGATACTGAGGATAAGATTTTCCCACAAGTTCTGGACAAGAAAGACAAATTAGTTTGCTGGATAGTGAGCAACTGGAATGAGAGGCATGAACGGGTAGCTTATTTTAATGAGCTAAAAAAGCACATCGACATTTATGCCCTTGGGAGACATTTTGGGAAACAATTAAGTGACACGCAATACAAGGAAACATTAACTAGATGTAAGTTCTATCTTTCATTTGAGAACACAAACCTTCACTACGACTACATCACAGAAAAGCTGTTCAATCCTCTCACCCTTGGATCAGTGCCGGTGGCTCTTGGGGCTCCAAGATACATATATGAGAGATTTGTGCCGAAAGATGCTTTCATCCACGTGAAGGATTTTTCCAGCCCTCAGAAACTGGCTGAACACCTGCTGTCACTGGACAAGAATGTCGACGAATACAAAAAGTATTTTCAGTGGAGAAAACACTTTGAAATTAAACTTGTTAGCTATCCTGAAGAGCATGCGTGCCGTGCCTGTCAGTATATAAGAACAAAAAAAGACTACCAGGTGTTTAGAAACCTTAACAATTGGTACTGGGATGCCATCAATGATGGGACCTAAATGGGATGGGTTTTGCAATTGAGGCAGCTCTTAAAACGGTTGACTGCCTGGTCAATGCACTGATGTACTTTCTGTGAAATGATAATTCATTAATTGCCAAGATAGGGATTAGATGCTGATACATCTAAGCAAATCCCATAATTATCACCACTAAAGGGAGTAGATTTGCAATCCTCTTTTTGCTTCCATTATTATTTTTTGTGATAACTGACATCTAAAGCCCAATTTATACTTCAGCATGGAATGATTGCTGTATCCCACTGCACATTCCGTAAACGAAGCTGATGCTGTTTTGAGAATTTATAATTCAGTGGTCAGACTTCTGAAATGCAGCATTTGGCAGTGGGATTTCTATCGTGTCAAGTTTACTTTCCGGTGGTTGGGTTTACGGTGCATTTGTGTTTATTGCTTCTGTAAAAAGTAGGGAAAAAAAACTTGCCTCATTCAGGGACGAAAGTGTCAGCAGTGAGAGTTTAAGTTGTCACTTATTAAACTTTCAAGCCCACCCCGCCCACATTTTTCACAACTGTACTAAGCCAGCCAATCATAGGTCTTGTCATTGTGATGTGTAATTACATTTTTGAGAGGTGCGCATGGTTGAATGACGAAGGTTATGTGACTGTGTAAAGGCTACATGTCAACCACCTGCACTCAACATAGAAGTATAAATTGGCCTTAAAGGAACAGTTCACTCAAAATTTCAAATGCTTTTATTTACTCAAACTTTGCTAGTTTCAAACCTTATTTCTTTTTGCTTTTGTACAGCAATTATGTGCATAAGTAATCCTTTTATATGTCTGACGTGGTCCAAACTTAATTACAGCACGCTAGACTACACAGAACCTAAAAGGTACACTTTCAAAATTTATTCCAAAAACAAAAAAGTGCCATATTTTTTGGTGTTTATTATAACACAGACAACATATACAGTTATTTTAAACACTTTTAATAGTGTTTTATGAAAATTCAAAGGGTTTTCTTTTAAATGATACCAAAATTTTGCATTTATACCTTTGCATGTGGATTTTTATTTTGGCAAGAATAAAAGCAAAAAAGTACACTTTATAAAAAATACTTTAGCACGCTTCACAATTGACACATTACTGTCTGGCTAGTTTTTGTTCTCTACTTATGCTAAAAAGGCAATAATGGTCAACATTCCTGACTATTATCACTAATAAAGCCTAAAAACAGGGCATCAGTATATTGTAAACCGATAGGTTTAAATATTCCTTCCCAGTTAACAAATAATTAATTTATTACTTCATTTTAGTTTTGTAATTATTCAATTGGTTGCAGACATAAAGATGTCTGTACAGTCGTATGGTTTCAGACTAAATCTCTTTAAAGTACTTCATAATCAACTCAAATCAAATGTGATGCCGTTAGAACTTCGCTGGAGTCTCAAAAAAAATCGTGCACTCCGCCAGCTTAAATCATGCCGCGTGCACCCAAAGTGAACCTCCGCAAACACAGCAATGATGTCACATTCGCCATGCGCACTCAAGTGAACTAGCGAACGCGAAGAGTATAAGCCAGGCTTAAGCAGGTGTGAGTTGGAGGTGGTTAGAACTAAACTGCAGAGCTGTGGCCCTCCAGAATATGAGTTTGAGACCATTAGTTTATAGTAAGAAATAGAGGTTTTATAATAATCAGTGTATTAGTAAAATTAAAAATTAATTTTCCACACCACACAGATCTTTCACTAAAGAAGATTAAAAACCTGTAATCATTGTCTTTTGTACCACTTGTTTGTCCTACTTTGGAAGTCAATGCCTTCAGGTTTTCGTCTTTATGTAGAATATCTTATTTTGTGTAATATCTTATTTTAAGTTTTGTAACCACTTGGGGTTGAGTAAATAGTGAAACATATTTTAGGTAAACTATCCCTTTGAGAAATAATTTAATGACATGATTTTCATGAGTTCCTGTGTTTAATGTTTTGTTGCTGCTTATTTTCAGTTTAGTTTAGTTAAGTTTGTTCTGTTCCAGTGATGAACTGTAGCTCAGCCTTGGAGGGAAAATGTATTGTCTGTACACGAGTGCAATTCCAAAACAGTGCCAATGATTGTTGAAACTGCTGCAAGTTCTTTACCAAGAACACAGATGTATTATCGATCAACTCAATTTAGCCTACAAAGCACAAGCAAAAGATTTTAAGGTAGCATATGTATCAGTGCACTGGAAATTATTCATCATTGAGAAAACTCTTAAAATGATTGAATCCCATCAATGTGATGTGACAAAAATGTGATGAGAATGAGAGGTAGCAGGATCAATGGCCGCTCTTATGTATATTAGCATATATCATTTCCGATGTTTGATGATCATTGATAAACTTTTGAATAAGTGTTTAATTTCATGGTTTATTTGTTGACCATTGGGTTGTCTCTCTTCAGAGTAAACCTGTAATTTAATGTGTGTCGATTCCTCTTTCTGTTTGCCAAGTGTTTTTTTGTTTTTTTTTTGTTTTTTGTTTTTTGTTACAAGGCCAAGTCAAGAGGTCATTGGGACCTCAACTGTTGATATGTTGGTAGCATGGTAGCAGCAATGCTGATATTACTTCATGTTAGAAATGTATTTAATTCTTTTGTCATTTGTAATTTTATTATTTTAAAGCTTCTCATAGGGGTTGGTCTTATGTCTGACGTTTATTCACTTGTTAAATAAATAATCATCATAGATATGACTGTAAATCCTATGGCAGTAGGTGTAGATTGTATATGGTCATCTGTTTCATCCAGCCTGAAATTTTCTAGGGCATAGCAACCTTGTAATGAGCGACCTTCTGTTAGAGTAAATCGTTACTGTTATGAGACTCTATGAACTCATTGTGAGCGCTGAAGCTGGCTTCTGCTGACAAAACTTTATTAACATTTTCTTGAAATAAATGGATCTCTGACTCCTGGTTTTTGTTCACCATACCGGGTCCTTGGGTTTATGTAATGTCAGATACTGTACCTCTTTTTGAATTTTTTTCATTCCGCTAAAACACTTCTCTTTTTTTGCATTGACTATCTTCTGAGTTTGCAAAGTCTAAGCAAATATGATAAAGGTGTGTACTTTGTGATAAGTACTCCCATAAACAGACATGCAAGTAGTGGTGGAAGTGTTATTTGATTAGTCTTTTACAGCTGGCTCAAAATTGTTACGAGAATCAATGGACTGGGTCGATAGTAAAGAAATGGTATATATGTATACTGGCCACTTTATTAGGTACACCTGTCCAACTGCTTAATGCAAATTTTAAATCAGCCAATCACATGGCAGCAACTCAATGCATTTAGCCATGTAGTTATGGTCAAGATGATCTGCTGCAGTTCAAGTTTTATTTGATTAATCTTTTACAACCAGCTTAAAATTGTTATGAGAATTAATGGACTGGGTTGATAGTAAAGAAATCGTATATATATGTATGTCAAGATGATCTGCTGCAGTTCAAACCGAGCACCACAATGGGGAAGAAAGGTGATTTAAGTGACTTTGCATGTGGCATGGTTGTTGGTGCCAGACAGGTTGGTCTGAGTATTTTAGAAACAGCTGATCTATGGGATTTTCAGGCATGCCCATCTCTAGGATTTACAGAGAATGATCAGAAAAAGAGAAAATAGTGCCTTGTCGATGCCAGAGGTCAGAGGAGAATGACCAGACTAGTTTGAGCTGATAGAAAGGCAACAGTAACTCAAATAACCACTTGCTACAACCGAGGTGTGCAGAAGAGCTTCTCTGAACGCACAACATGTCCAAGCTTTAGACGGATGGTCTACAGCAGCAGAAGACCACAATGGGTGCCACTCCTGTCAGGTAAGAATAGGAAACTGAGGGTACAATTCGCACAGGCTACACAGAATATTGGAAAAACGTTGCCTGGTCTGATGAGTCTTGATTTCTGTCGCAATATTTGGATAGTAGGGTCAGAATTTGGCCTCACCAACATGAAAGCATGGATCCATCCTGCTTTATATCAACAGTTCAGGCTAGTTCAGGTGGTGTAATGGTGTGAGGGATAAACTAAACTCTTAAGAACAAGGCAGCAAGTCCTCCAGACCAATTCCTACATCTCAAAAAGGATACACCCTATCCACAAATCACCAACCAGACTACCTGCAAATCACAAATTAAACAAAACATAGGCCCAGCATGGGATCTAACGCTGTCTTTTTTAAATTATTTTTTTATATATAAATGTTTGTTCGTAATTGGATATTTTTGTAATGATCAGTTTGTTGTAAATATATTTGAATGGAAGACTAAAGATTGTGAAAACAAAAGTACCAGGAAAAAACAGTAGTATCTGGATGCAGACTTGCATATGCAAGCTGAGATACACAGGGTTAGGTCTGGGGTTATATATGGCCCAAATAACATAAAGAGAAAGGGAGGACTTTTTTATAGTGTGCAAAACAATTTAATAAATGAAAGAACACTTTTCCCCACTGTACAGACCTTTTTAATGAAACGTTTTCATTGATGTTAAGGGTTCTTCGTGGTACCATTGATGCCAATAATGATAGTTTATTTTCAGGAGTGTACATTAAGATCAAGACCTTGCTACATATAATTCTCAGACATAAACATATCAGTCAATGCAAGCAAACTACAGGATCTAGGTGGATAGTGGTTGTGCTTACAGCAAGGCAATGAATGAAAAGTGGTCTGGAAATATTGTCAAAGCAGAGGCGTTGTAAAACATCTACTTTTACTGACAGTTTAATGCCTCAAGGGGGCGATGTTGTCATATACGTGAGATTATAAGAATGTTTTTGCTTCTTTTTACCTTATCTTACTTTAGATTGCTTTTTTTTTTTTTTTTTTTGGTGAAGTTCTACATGTTAATTAGCTACTTGCCTGTTAGACACCTTCTGATATAAATATACCCAACCACTTGAACAGAGAAATGAGAGATAGGCCTTTTTGTGTGAATTGTTAAGGAATTATTAAATTTCAAATAATACTTTTAAGAGTTAATTATTAAAGTTTTCTTTCCTCCACAGATAATATATAAAAGGTCAATAACCTGAATGAAAACATTAAATATTTTGTTATGAGTAAACAGCACAAATACACAAACATACATTGACATTAACTGTGTTAATTTTGCCAAATGAATTCTGCTTGTGCATCACTGCTATTGCTCACAAAATTAGCAGTGTTTGTGCTATTGATGTGAATGATTTCATTCATCTTGCTGAGGACAGAAAACTTCAAACATTTTGGGCCCTATCATACACCCGACACAATAAGGTGCAAGTCGTGCTTCCACGATGTGTTGCTATTTTCAGACTAATGCAACCTTAATTTTCCTGTTTTCCACTATGTTTTTTTTTTAATTGCAAATGCAGTTGTGCTACTTTGTGGACTCAAGGGTATTTTGATCTAAAAAAGAGGTGTGTTAGGGCGCATTGTTGGCGCAATGCTATTTTAAGAAGCTAATTAGACTGAGCAATTTACCAGCTGAAAGCAGGTCTAAAGTCCAGTGAAGAGCACATTAGTTGTGCGCCTTGCTTACACATTGCTTACACACGCAGGATGTACAGCAATACTCAAATATTTTTACAAATTAAAAATAATTAAAGAAATAAAATACAAAAAAATATTTTATTTTCTACATAAATATAAAAAACACTGCCTCTATGCCTTTTTCATCTCGGTAGACTTTTTTAGTTTATTCAGGACAATTTGCTTTAGTATAATGTTATTATTAACAGTAAAATTTATTATATGCATGTTTATGTTTGCTTTATTAAAAACAAGCTTAGATTTGTCCACTTGTCTGGTTTTGGATCATATGGGGTCAGCATGTGTATTAGGATATTTTTTTTTAGCACACTTTGTTATTATTGCTCATTTATTAATTTGCTGGAAATTAGAACTGAA